TATTTGCAACTTTTTGAGAAAGCGCCATACTGCTTTCCACAGGGGTTGCACCATTTTACACTCCCACCAACAGTGAATAAGGGTTCATCCAGAATTTATTAAATACCTGAGCACCACAACAAGATAAAGGTAAATAATGCAATAGAAAAACGGGCACAGGATATGAACAGGCACTTCACCGAAGACGACATTCAGATGGCTAATAAGCACAGGAAGAAATGTTCAAAATCCCTAGCTCTAAGATAGATGCAAATTAAAACTACTATGAGCTATCATCTCACCCCAGTCAAAATAGCAAAATATAACAGAACAACAACAGAACAACAAGCAACAAATGCTGGCGAGGTTATGGAGAAACTGGAACCCTTATTCATGTGACTTTTTAAAATTTTAAATTAAATAAAATGAAAAATTAATTTGCTCACTTATAATAATGGCATTTCAAGTATTCACCAACTATATGTAACTAGAGGTTAAAGTATTGGACAGTGAGGATATGAAGTATTTTCATTGTCTTGGAAAGTTCTTTGGGACAGTATTAGTTAATCGGTGACTCTTAATTAATTGGCTTGGATTTGGTTGCTTAAAAAAATCATTCAAGTACCACTCCAAAACAGCCCAAGTTTATTAAGTTGTCTATGGTGAAGGAGGCATGGATTCTGAGGCTTCATCTGAGAACTTTAGGTATATTGCAAGGAGGGACTAGTCCATGGAGAGGGACATCATGCTTGGAAGGGTAGAGAGACATAGAAAGAGAGGAAGACCCTCATTGAAATGGATTGATTGATTGACTGTGATAATGAGGGTAGGTGTGTCAGAGACAATAAATTTGGCACAGGATAGAACAGGTTTCAGGGTTATTGTATATAAGATCACAGGGTTATTATACATAAGAGCTTCAAAAGACTTGATGGCACATAACAAGAACAAAAAGTGTTTATATGTGGAGTGCTGTTTGTCTACTGGTAAGAATCTGTGCTGCACTCCCGAAGGCACATGTTTTTAATCTGCCAGCTGCTCCATGGGAGAAGGATAGGCAATTTCCTCCTGATTAGTGCCTCTGAAAACCAGCTTGAGGGTCAGCCAAGAGTCAGTTCTGACTCAATCATACATAAAAGCAACAACATTGTTTATATATGTGTCTTAGTATTTTAATCTGTCGTATGATACTTTTATGTGTTAACATATAGGTACAGCAGAAGTGAAAGCTGAAAAACGTAAGCAGAGTGATTGGGCTGTTAACAATGCTGAGGATCAGGACTTAGGAACTAGTATCAAGGATTTGTTTACTTCTATTTCGGTAAAGTAAAACGTTTTCCATTGCCAATTCTACTGAGTTGATTTGTATCATTTTCTTTTCTAAGAAATAATGAATAGGCCTTCCAATTTGCCAGTGATCTTTTTTTCCTTTTTATTCTACGCTGCCTCCTTCTGCTTGATTTATAGCTAAACAATGGAGAGAGAAATATTAGGGAGGTATACCTTTAATTCACCTATGTGTTTCTGTATATGTGTATAAGTAATGGTGATGTTTATATTAATATAATCTGTAATTTTTATATTCTTTGCCAAAATTTAATTTTCTTTAAAACAAATTGGCTTGCCTATTCCTTCTTTTCTCTCATCTTTGTTAATCTTCCAAGATTGAATCTATCTATGTGTAAAAATTTCCTTAGCTTTTTGTAATTATGGTAAATACTATTACTATATTTTGTAACAGACTAGTGTCATTCAGCATAAATTGTTCTAATTTCACCTATGTGATGCAGTATTTGATGCATAAAAATGCATTGTGTGAATGTACCACCATTTCTTTAGCTGTCTGTCCATTGATGGGCATTTATTTTGTTTCCAGTTATGGTTATTATAGATGTTGTTGTTAATAGATGCCATTGATTTGACTATGAAAACCAAGATCTGAATATGGGCCTAACATGCACCATGCTCATTATCTGTAATGTGCTTGAGCCTATTATATTATCAAAATAGCTGTGTAAATTCATTTGTTGGAGATCCTCACTTTCTCTGACCCTCTGCCTTTCTCAGCATAATGTCTTTTCCCAAAGACTGGCCCTTTTTCATAACTTCTGAATGAATATGAGGCAAAGTTTCACTATCCTTGCTTCTAAAAAACACTCTGGTTAAACTTTTACCAAGACCATTTTATTTGTTCTTTTGGCAGTCTATTGAATATTCAGTACTCTACTGCAACATCACAGCTCAAAGGCATTAATTTTTCTGTCATCTCTATTCAGTGTCCAACTTTCAAATGCATAGACAGTATTGAAGAGATGATGGCTTGGATCAGGCGCACCTTAGTCTTTAAAGTGACATCATCCCTCACTTGTATTTTAGAGAAATCTTGACAGGAGATTTTTGCAATACAACATGTCTTGATTTTTTTATGTGGGTCCTATAAAGATGAAATAGTTGGCAATTTAAAACTTTTCTCTATCAATTATGATGTTGCCTGTTGGATGAATGGTGAGGATTTTTGTTTTCTGGGTGTTGAGATGTAGTCTGTATTGAAGACTGCAATCCGGTCTTCTGGAGAAGTGTTTCAAGTCCTTGTCGCTATCAGCAAGCAAGGTTCTGTCATCTGCATAACACAGGTAGTTAAGTATTTCTCCAGTTGTGATGCTTGATTCTTCTTCAATTAGTTCAGCTTTTCGAATGATTTGCTTAGCGTACATATTGGAATATCACTGATTTCACATGCAAGCAAGATTTTACTGAAGATTATCCAAAAACGACTGGAACAGCACATCAACAGAGAACTACCAGAAGTCCAGGCTGGTTTCAGAAGGGGTCGTGGTACTAGGGATATTGTAGCTGATGTTAGATGGATCTTAGCTGAAATCAGGGAATACCAGAGGAATGTCTATCTGTGTTTCATTGACTATGCAAAGGCATTTGACTGTGTGGATCATAACAAACTATGGCTGACTCTGAGAAGAATGGGAATCCGAGAACACTTGATCGTTCTAATGTGAAACCTATACTTGGACCAGGAGGCAGTCGTCAGAACAGAGCAAGGGAATACTGCATGGTTCAAAATTGGGAAGGGCATACGCCAGGGATGCATCCTATCTCCATACCTTTTCAACCTATATGCAGAAGACATTATCCGAGAGGCTGGGCTCTATGAGGAGAAATGTGGGGTCAAGATTGGTGGACAATTTATCAACAATCTGCGTTATGCAGATGACACAACCCTGCTTGCTGAAACTGAAGAGGACCTGAAGCACCTGCTGCAGAGGGTCAAGGACTGCAGCCTACAGTATGGATTGAGGCTCAATATCAAGAAGACAAAGATTCTCACCGCTGGACCAATTGGCAGCATCAGGATGGATGGTGAAGAGATTGAGATTGTACACAGCTTTAGTTTGCTTGGCTCCACAGTCAACAGTCTTGGCACCAGCAGCCAGGAAATTAAAAGATGTATTGCAATGGGAAAGTCTGCTGTTAAGGACCTCTCCAAAGTACTGAAGAACAATGGTGTCTCTCTGGAGACTAATGTGTGTCTGATACAGGCCATGGTCTTTGCAATCAGTTGTTATGCATCAGAGAGTTGGACAATGACTAAGGAGGATAGAAGGAGAATTGTTGCCTTTGAGTTGTGGTGCTGGAGAAGAGTATTGAGGGTACCATGGACTGCTAGGAAAATAAACAGATTCATCCTGGAAAGGGTCAAATCGGACGGCTCTTTGGAAGCAAGGATTCTGAGCCTCCATCTAACATACTTTGGACATGTTGTAAGGAGGGACCAGTGCTTGGAGAAGGATATCATGCTTGGGAGGGTGGAGGGACAGCACAGAAGGGGAAGGCCACCTATGAGGTGGATTGATTCAGTGATTGAGGTAACAGGGATGGGTGTATCGGAGACGGTGCGATTGGCACCGGACAGAGTAGAGTTTAGGGCTGTTGTACGTAGGGTCACTATGAGTCACAAGTGACTCAATGGCACATAACAACAGCAACAACAGGGATTTAATTTTTAGAAGGCCCCATTCATCAATTTTACCCTCTCCAGATTGAGCATGTTTGGCTATATTTGGCAGTCTCTTCATATCAGAGACTAGAACATCTAAGCTTGATCCCAGTTTGTCTTTGATGAACTGTATGCTTTTAGGCTTTACTCCCAGGTCTCTGATCCACCTTCTGTTGATTTTTGTGTATGGTGTGCGATGTGGATTCTGTTTCAGCTTTCTACAGGTAGTAGTCCAGTTTTTCCAACTCCATTTGTTGAAGAGGTTGTTCACAGGAACCCTCACAACCTGTTGCATGTTTTTCTTTGGCAATAACCACAACCACTGGATGTATGTGGCTCTGGAAGTTCTAAGGGTGTCTGTCCATAGGGATACTGCTCAGTGGTCACTGAACATCTGTAGGTGCATGTTTCCAAGCACAGCTTCTAGAGTTTGCTGTGTTCTCCACTGTGGTTATGTAGGTGCCCTCGAGTCAACTGTGACTCTATGCGTCCATTCCTACTGCTTGGTCCTGCACCACTCTCACTGCCAATGCCATGCTTGAGTGGCATCCGTTGTGTGTGTCCCTCCATCTTGTTGAGGGTATTCCTCTTCCCTGCTGATCATCTACTTTACCGAGCAGCCTCCTTTCTCATTTCCATTCACACCCAGTGTTTCTTTGGCAGTTACAGTTCTTACCTGGCTGTTGTAGTTATACAACCAAAAATGACCCTCTCCCAATTCCTGGACTTCAGGATACTGGGATCTTTGCAGACCCTTTGGAAATGCTTCCCTTCAACAAGGAGAATTGACATCTCCTGGATACTGAGGAGCATAGTCATGTTGTTCCCAGAAACACTTAAATTGTCACAACTGTTTCCCCTCAGGTTCACTTCTGATCTTTAAAACATAAATAGAACACAACAAAGCCAGGTTCAGACATCCAGGACACAGAGTAGGACCAGATGTCCCTAGCAGAGCTCTTCTTAGTCACAGGACACCCACATGACTGGTGACAAAACAGAGAGTGACGAGTAACCAGACTTTCACTGGTTGGTGTTCAGAAGCAGAACATGGGGCCTTCTTAACTAGACTGAAACTTCTATCACATGACAGCAAAGTGCGAGGCACCACAGTACAGTAAGCTGTGGCATGTGACTCTAAATGTGGCCCATTGGCCAGGATCAGAAATGGGTATGTTGCATAGAAAGCAAGAATTTATCATTGAACCACTAATACCTCATTTCCCAATGTTAAAGGTAATTTAACCAAGGCTTTACTGTTGCACAGCGCAGAGGGGCATGTGACAGATAGTTATAAACTGGTGGCGTGCAGGGCTGAAAAAGTCATGAGCGCCATGCACAAAAATGTCTTTAAGAACGTACACTTTCCTATGCCAGCTGAACTCAAACCAGGTCCTCTTGGTCAAAATCATGTTCAGTCTCGGCTGCATTTTAGTGGCCAGAGAAGAGGATGAAAATCATCGAGGGCTCAGACAATGAATGGTTTTAACCAAGAGTGTGGAAGCACCACCATCTCTCTGGCCTGAACATTATGACGTGACTGAGTAAACTAGTAAGAACCTGCAAGATGGGAGAGCAGACATGACTTTTGGCATGGAAATTTCTGTGATTGGACTCTGGAATGAGTCTTGGAAAACAGATACACCTGTGCAACACAAATTTAAAGAGCACTGCACACACCTGGATCTCAGGCGCTGTTACCATTCTGGATTGTCTGAAAGTATAAGATTCAATGTCAAGCAGATGGCTGTTTGTAAGGTCTCTCTAGGGCCATTACTGTGAGAATTTTCTACAAATGCAAGGTCTTTCTGATCTGTGAACATAGTCGTGAGAAATGGCATTAAGACTGGGTTGACATTTCAATACTGAATGAAGCTAGAAGATTGGCTCAAAGACGCCTTATATTGTCTTGCTCCTGTGAACTCTCTGGTGTTGAATAAGGTTTGAGTTTTGGCGAAAGGATTTTCCATATTGATTGCATTTATGAGACCATTTTTCATTATATATTCTCCAGTATTACACAAGGAAGAAGTTAGAGGATTTCCCATTTTAACACTTGCACCATTGTTCTTGTGAATCTTTTGTGCTGAGTAAGTGTGTATGTCTGACTGAAAGATTTTCCACATTCCCCATATATGTACAGTCTTACTCCAGTACAAATTTGCCAGTGCTTATTTAGTCTAAATAAAACATTTTCCCACACTCATAAGGCCTTTCTCCAATGTGGACTATCTAGTGTTGTTGGAGAGCAGAACTTTGTTGGAAGCACTTTACACATTTCCTGCATGCATCAGCCTTTTCTCTAGTGCGGACTTGGTGGTGCTGAATGAGGCCAGAGCTCTAAAAGGTTTTACACATTCCTCACACACATATAGTTTTGATCCTGTGTGATTCTTCTGGTGTTGAATGAGCCTAGGTCTTCAGCAAAAGGATTTCTCACACTCATTGCACTTGTTAAGCCCTGTCCCTTAAATGAGACTGATGCTGACTGAGAGTAGAGCTATAGCTACAGCCTCACTGGGTGTGCTTGGACACCTTTCTCCAGTGTGACCCTGTGGTGTTGGATGAGAGTGGAGTTTTTACTGAAGATTTTCCTGCACTCAACACACTTACAAGGGCGTACTCCTGTGTGAAGTCTCCAGTGTTGAATGAGGCTGCAGTTTCAAATGAAGGATTTTCCACATTCAGGAGACTCATACATCTTTTCACCAATATGAACAATCTGGTTTCTGCTATAGGAGCAGATGTGTGTAAAGGACTTCCAACATTCCCAGTACACATATGGCTTCTCCCCAGTGTGAATTCTCTGGTGTCTACTGAGGAGAAGTGGTGGGTAAAAGTTTTCCCACCTTCACCACACTCATACAGCCTTTCTCTGCTGTGAACTTGCTGCTGCTGACAACATGTAATTAAAACTGTTTTCTCAAATTTGCTATGCTCAGAAAGTACCTTCCCAGTGAAACAGCTCTGATGGTGATCAAGTGTGTGTTTGCTACTCAGAGCTTTCCCAAATTGAAACCTCTTGTTGTTGTTAAGTGCCATTGAGTCGTAGGCAACTCATAACAACACTTTGAATAAAAGACCTGAATGCTTGTATGATTTTCATCGATTCTCCACATTGATAGGGTTTCCTGAGGCAGGCTATTTCGGAAGTGGATGCCACTCCTGCTTCCATGCTTGTTTTAATCTGAGAGCTCCACCAAATACTGTCCACCATGAGTAACCATTATAGCATTTGAAACATCATTGTCACAGTATTCAGCATCACAGTAATCATGAGTTACCTCTGTATAACAAGTGGACAGACCAGGGCTATGCGACCTAGAAGAATGTTGGACCAAAAACAATTAAAGCCAGGCCTGAGGGCTGCAGATTAAAGTCACCCATCTTTGGCTTGTTAGCATCACTTTCTGCCCACTAGGCCAAATGAGCTCTCTCTATGTTGTTGTTGTTAAGTGCTGTTGACGTTTTCTGATGAGGAAAAAAAATCACCCAAATGGGGTGTGTCTGCTGCTGGAGTAGGAGTGATGGAATTGATTGTCATTTCTAAACCCAGCCACGTCTCTGAAGTCAGGATTGAGTTTATAGTTGGATGGACCTATCTGTGGAAAACGTTGCTTAGATGACTCCTTCATCACATCATGATGACAACCCAGTGAGGGTATGATTTCAAAGTTCTCCAGCATCACATCATTTTAGAGAATCATCTGATTGTCATCAGGGAGTCTCACTCCTCCTTGGGAGAAGTAAATGACCACATCCTCAAAGGTGAGGTAGCCCTGACCCCCGAGTCTCTGGCTGTGGTGGCCACTATATAGATGCAGTCAAGCAAGGGTGGGCTGAGCAGCTGATGGGTGACACCCAGGACCCCCACTTAGTTGTGCTTGGAACTGAGTCACCCCTCGAGGCCTGTGGCTGTACAGGACCACCACCTTTGTGAGCTCTGGATGACACTTCTATACCCTCAGTTACATCGCCATGGTATCCAGCCAGCCTAGGTATAAATTTTGCGTGAACACAATGCTTGGTTGGTAATCTATTTTTGGTGAGTCTTTCCAGTAAATTAATATAAAAATTAAAATTGTAGAACAAGTTATGGGGAAAAATGACTGAAATAACATATCATTTTCATAATATATTCAATTAGTAATTTTAAAATATTTCTGTTTTAGTTTTTATTCTTTAAAATATGTTGAGTTGCAAATATGTTATATTTGTGCATTGGTTATTAATATACTTGGAAGTAGCTGTTTCTATTAGCTTAATAAATGAAATTAATTATATATATATATAATTTCTATTTCAGATTCTGATGAAGAATCCAGTGTTTATAATGATATCTCTGTCCAGAGCTGTAGAATTTTTCCTTGTTCCTGGTTTTGCTTTGTTTTTACCTAAATATCTTGAAAATCAATATAAATTAACTGTCAAAATGGCAAGTACAATATCAGGTATATTTTCTCTTTATTGTATTCATTTCAAACTTTCGAATGAAAATCTTATATAAAAATTTATCTATCTATCTATTATCTATCTATCTATCTATCAATCTATCTATCTATCTATTCACCTAGCAAGATTGTGCTATCCATCTATCTATCTCTCTATCCACCTAGCAAGATTGTGCCATCTGCATAATGAATTTTATTGATGAATCTTCAGATGCCACATTTTTTAATGACAGAGTCCAGCTTCTTGAATCATTTCCTCAGTATATTGATTAAATTGGTATGGTGAAAGGATACAACCCTGATACACACCCTTCCAAAAGTTAAACCATTGTAATGTTCCCTTTTTTTTTTTGCACAACAGCCTCTTGGTCTCTGTATAGGTTTTACATGCACAATTGTTTTGAAATTTCTATTCTTTTCAAAGTTGATCATAATTTGTATTGTCTACACAGTCAAATACTTTGCATAGTTTATAAAGCACAAATAGAAATGATTTTTATATTCTTTGTTTTTAGCCAGGATCCACAGCCTCTTCCTAAGCATGCTTGAACATCTCATAATTTTCTGTTTGTGTACTGTTGTAGCCATTTTTAATAATTCTCAGCAGTATTTTGCTTGCATGTGGTATTAATGATATTATTGTTCAGTAATTCCCATTCTGTTGGATCACTTTTCTTGGGAGTGGAAACAATTATTTCTTCCAGTCAGTTGGGCAGGCAGCTGTCCTCCAAATTTCTTAGTACAGAATGATGAATACATCCCGGACTGCATCTATCTTTTGAGATATTTAAATTGGTATCTCTTCCACTCCTGGGGACTTCCTTATTGTTTCCAATGTCTTTAGTGCAGCTTGAATTTCTTCCTTCATTATTGGTGGCTTTTGATCATATGTTATTTCTTGAAATATTTCCATATCAGCCAGTTATTTTTCTAACAACACAGTTCAAAGACATTAATCCTTCTTCTGTCATCCTTATTTATTGTTCAGCACTCAGATATATAGCTAGTGACCAAAAAGACCCTGGCCTGAATCAGGCACACCTTAGTCCTCACATTGTCATTGATCCTCAGATTGTGGCCAACCTGAAGGAAAATGGTAACCCCAGAACATTTGATTGTGCTTATGTGAAATCTGAAATTAGACCAGGAAGCAGTCCTCTTAACAGAGCAAGGAAACACTGCATGTTTCAAAATCAGGAAAGGAGTGCATCAGGGATGCATCATCTCTATGCCTTTTCAATCTATCTGCAGAACAGATCATTCAGGAAGCTGGGCTTTATGAAGAGGAATGCAGCATCAGGACCGGAGAAAGACTCATCAACTACCTGTCATGCAGATGACACAACCTTGCTTGCATAAACTGAGGAGAACCTGAAATACTTGCTGCAGAAAGTCAGGGACTGCCGTCTTCAATACAGATTGAAGCTCAACATGAAGAATACAAAGATTCTCATCACTGGGCCAATTGGCAGCATCCTGATAGGAGAAGAAGAGATTGAGGTTGTTAAAAATTACAGCTTGTTTGGCTCCACAATCAATACTCTTGGCAACAGCAATTGGGAAATAAAAAGATGAATTGAACTGGGAAAATCTGCTCCCAAGGTCCTCTCCAGAGTACTGAAAAGATATCAGTCTAGAGACTAAGGTACACCTAATACAGGCCATGGTCTTCATAAGTACTTGCTATACACCAGAGAGCTAGACAGTGACTAAGGATGACATAAGAAGAATCGATGCCTTTGATTTGTGGTGCTGGAGAAAAGTTTTGAACATACCATGGACCATCAAAGAAACAAATAGGCCTGTTTTGGAGAAGGTGAAACCAAGTTTCTCCTTGGAGGCTAGGATTTTGAAACTCTGTCTCACATACTTTGGGCATATGACCCAGAAGGACTAGTTTCTAGAGAAAGACATCATGCTTGAGTAATGGGACAGTGTAGAAGAGGGAGACCCAAGATGAGATAGATTGTTATAGTAACTGGGGCAATAGAGGTTTGTGTGTCAGAATCAGGGAACCTTGCTCAGGAGAGGTCAGGCTTCAGAGGTGCCGCACATAGGGTCACTATGCATCTCAGGTTACTGAATGGCACATGACAATATGGAGGGGTCCTTTACTACAGACTTTCCAGGTACAGTAAATCTCTTGATTTCTTGACTGCTGGTACTAAAGATTATGGATCCAACTGAGATGAAGCCATTGATAGTCTAAATCTTTCCCCATTTTTCATGATGTTGCCTATTGGCCCAGTGGTGAGAATTTTTGTTTTAAGTTGAGGGGCAATCCATTTTTAATGTAGTCTTTGGTCTTTTGCAGCAAATGTTTCAAGTCTTCTTCACTTTCAGCAAGCCAGGTTGAGTGAGAACCTTGTCTCAAACAAAAGAAACAAGGCCAGAAATGGAATGAATTTTGTACATTCAGTGTATTCATTGTAAATAACTTTTTTAAGAAATCGTAAATGTTCCCACTAGCAGTCAGTAAGAGTTCCTATCTCTCTATAACAATGTCAGCATTTATTGTTTGCTGCCCTGTTGAACTATGCTGTTGCTGCTGGGGTGAGATGGTATTTCATAGTTGTTTTGACTTGCATCTCTCTGATAGCTAGGAATTTTTTTTTGCATTTCTTTGTGATTTTCATCTGAATTTTTTCTTTGGTCAAGTGTCTGTTCATATCCTGTTCCCATTTTACAATTAGATTGTTTATCTTTTACTTTTTAGGTGCTGTAGTAGTCTAAAAATTTTGCTATGAGTCCCTTATCAGATATGTCATTGGGTAACATGTTTTTCCAGTGTATGCGTGTCAGAATGTAAAATGGTACGACTACTCTCACTATGAAAGGTGGTCTGGTGCTTCTACAAGATATTAGAAATAGAAATACCATTTGATCCAGCAATTCCAATACTAGGAATATACCCTAAAGAAATCATAGCCACAACTTAAACAAGTGTATTCACACCCAGGTTTATTGATGCATTATTCACAATAGCAAAGAGATGGAAACAGCCCAGCTGTCCATCAACAAATGAATGGATTGAAAAATGGTGGTACATTCACACAGTGGAATATTACACAGCACTGAAAAACAATGAACACATAAACAGCACACAACATGGGTGAGCATGAAAGACATTATGCTGAGTGAAAAATCTCAGTCACAAAAAGACAGATATTGCTTAATACTGCTGTTATAAAATAGGACCAACATGGGGGTTTTAGGGGATAGTAGTGAACACTGCATTGTAACAGATGAGGGGAAAGACTTTCTGAATGGAATGATTAGCATTATGTGTATGGCAACATTCTGGAACAAGAGGTGCATTGCAAAGTATACCAGGGAGGGGGAACTAGAGGGGGGGATATACAACAATGAATAAATGAAAACACAATACTTCTTTATTAAGACAATAATTTAAAAATCAATCTGATTCTAAAACAAAACAGAATCCCCAAAACTGTAATTTTACACATGAACATCACTAGATGGACTGCATAGAAATGAATTTTACTATATCTGTGTAAAGAATCATTGGAGAAGCTCAATAACAACAGTCAAAACCAGTTCAGGTGCCGACTGTGAAACAGACAAACAATTACTCATGGCCAAGTTCTAGTTTAGTCTGGGGAAAATGAAAATTCCAAGAGAAATAAAATATGATCTTGGATATATCCCACCTGAATTTAAAATGCATCTTAAGAATAAATTTGAAGCACTGAGAATCATTGAAGACCAGATAAATGGTTGGATGACATCAAGGATATCACCCATAAAGAGAGTAAAATATCCCACAAAGACAGAGAAATAAAGAAAAAAACCCAAAATTAATATTAGAGGAGACGCTAAAAAAGGCATAACAGTATCAAGGAGCCTAAACAAGAGAAGACCTGTTCAAGTAAATGAGCTGAACAGAAGACTTTAAAGTGAAGCTTGAGAAGACAGAGCAAAATATTATAACTGAATATGCCATGACCTACAACAGGAGAATGCAAAGGAAGATTTGTTTGGCATTGCTCAAGCTGAAAGTACTGAAAAGCAAATTCAAGCCTTGCATTTTAATGCTCAAATGTATTAAAGTACAGAGGCACTATGGGAGAAATCTTAAATAAGCCAGGAATCATCAAAAGAAAACAGAAACAGAGTCATTGTACTAAAAAAGGAACCGGCCGACACTGAAATACTTAAGGAAGTACCATATGATCAAGAACTAAGGATAAAGAAGGAAGAAATTCAAGTTTCACTGAAGGTATTGGCAAAAATAAGATCCCAAAGATGGTTTAACATAAGAAAAATAATCAATGTAATTCATCACATTGCTGTTGCTATGTACCATTGAGTTGTAATGGACCTGTAGTTGACCCTAGGTGGGTTTTCAGAGGCAATTAGTCAAGACAGGAGAAAATTACCTATCTATTTTGGGGAGAAGCTGGTGAGTTCAAGCAGCGTGCCTTCCATATTGTAGTGCACCTTCTTGCCACTAGGCCACCAGAGCTTCCATTCCCTCGTCACGTTAACAAAGTAAATAAAAAGAACCACATGATCCTAGCAATTGATGTACAAAAGGCCTTTAACAAAATTCAATACACTTTCTTGATTAAAACACAGAAGAGAATAGAGAAGGTAATTTCCTCAAAATTATGAAAAGTATATACACAAAACCAAGAGCCAATGTCGTTCTCAATGGAGAAAGACTAAAAACATCCCCCTTGAGAACAGGAACTAGAGAAGCATGCCCACTTTCACTCTTCTACTCAGTATGGTATTGGAATTACTTTCTAGAGAAATTAAGATGTATCTAGCTGCATAAAAAGGTGGTTCAACTGTGCTATATTCAGATGATATGATAGTTTACACAGAAAATCCTAAGAACACACCAAAAAACTGTTAGACCTAGTGTACCAGTTTAGTAGAGTGGCAGAATACAAGATCAATGTGCAAAAGTCAGTGAGATTTCTAAACAGTAACAAAGAAAACACAAGGAAACCATGAAAGCAATACTATTTACA